GTTTCTTGTACAGCTTTAGACCGTGATTACAATTCTATAGTCATTTATCATCCTCAGTAGCCACTTCAAGGCTCTTCATTCAGACAAGTAAAACTAGGAACTTGCTGTACTATGACCAAAGGTGGAACTGGTGACGAACATAATGTAAAAAGTCCCTTGAGGATCGACAGGTTTGAACATGAGCGCGGGAAACTGGGTCGAGTACATTAGGTCAAAGTTTTTAGGTGAACATCCTACTAGTTGAGATAAGCACTGCATTGAGTAATTATTTTTTCGAAGTATTTAGACAGCCCGGGGAGTGAGAGAAAATGTAGGCTGACCCACAAAAAAAAAAATAATAATACACAAAAACATTCTCTCACAGAAAATGAAAGACAAGCGAAAGAAGTGAAAGAACGAAGTAGATATTGTGTATTGTCTGTTTGTTTGTGTTTTTTTTTTTAAATTTCCGGATAGTTTATTGGTGAACCACGACCTAATGTACTCGATCCAGTTTACGTGGCTATTGTCAAAACATGGCTTCCCGTGGTTGTTCTGGTATTCTTGTTGTAACACCGTGATTGAGAAAAAGTAACTACAGTTAAGAATGGCTGATTTCCCTGTCATAAAGAAGAACGTAATAGATTCTACTTTAAGAAGAAGTAATACACATGCAGGCAGATTCAAGTTTCATTATTTTCTTTTTTTTCCTTTTCAATTCTTGAAAATTAGTCATCGATTTCTGTGATGGAGAGAGCATTGTTTTAGTACAGAAAGAAAATGTTATTCTAACAAAAGTGAAGTTAAAGTTGCTGTTTATTTCAATTCTAAACGAAGGGTTACACGACGTATGATGTCACTTTGCGAATCTTTATCTTTGTTTTTTTTTTTACTTCCAATTTTTCTGCATAACGTTCCCCAGGCTCTCTTTCAGGTCTTTGAGCAGGGCCTGCGCTTGTGAGCTCCTTCCTCCAGAAGACCCCCCATGACCGCCTTCAATGTCTCCAATGACGTAACCAAACACGTCTACACAGACCCTGCCCTGGTTATCCCCTTCATGCGAATTCTTCAGATCCTCGCCGTACCAAACGCGGAGCTCCATGTGAGGTTGGAGATACAGTGGGAAGTCGAAGTTGGAGAAGACAAGCTCGTCCGAGTGCAAGTCATCTACCACAGGCATTTCGTACCACAAACTCGAACTAAGCTTGATAAACTGCGGCAGTGGAAATATTAGGTTGTTCTTCTTATCAGTGACAACCACGTTCAACGGGTAAGACTTGAGAGAACTGTGACCATGGCAACCCCAACGACTGTTGTACGCGACATCCGAGACGCATCTCACATGGCCGGACCTGTGCACAAGCTTCAAGGCACCGACCAAAATGCCTTGCGAGCCTCGATAGGTGACGTAACCAGGGCGGTTATTTCTGGCCTCAAAGCAAACTGGAAGACCAAAATTTAGTTTGTGCCAAGTGGCTTCTCCTATAGAAAACGATAGAAAATGTTAGTTTCAAGGAATGCTTTAATGAACAGCATGGAAAGATTTTTTTCCCGCCAAAACCAAGAGTAAAACAGGTCGCAGAGCAAATTTCGATGAGTATTCGAATATTCTTTCTTGTTTTATAACTGTAGCTAAAGCGCTGAAATTATAATATACCAAGATATTTGGGAACTAGAAAAAAACAATTTGGCGGACTTCTTACTCCAGAGAGGTGGTTTGATATTATAGTCGTACAATGACAAAAAACCACACCTAAGAATGCGGGTTAGATTTGAGAAATTCAGGTTAAGCTAACTTAATTAAAAGCAGTTATTATATTTTTGGGAAAAGACTCATAACTCGGTCTTTAAAATCCAACATCTTAAGCGTCAGTGTCACTATAATTTTTCCCAGGATGTATCAAATTTAAGTCACTTTTATGCACGTAGAATAGTGTCATTGTACCATGGATACCTGATACCATTCTGGCTAATAAGCTTGACGATTCATGAAACGGCACCCCAGTTCGCACTGGGCTTTTTGTTTCACTTTAAGCTCAATTGATAGAAGTTTCTTACAAATATTTCTTGAATTCAAAACTGGATAAAGCCAAAAATAGCGTTACGTAAAGTAGAATTTTCGACTGAAGCAACTGACAGTTTTGCAAATTTATCGTTTTATTAAAAGGAAACAAATGGAAAAGAAATCTCCTGTCTTTATAGACTGTTCAGGGCTAGGAACACCCCGTTCTTTGTAACCAGGCACTAGAAATTATTAACAGAGATGCACCTTTGGAAAGGAAAACGAACTTACCTTGTAATATCTGGTAGCAGAAGAAAACGAGTAGAACCTGTTTGATAGAAAACGAACTCATTTTTGTTAAATGGTTGCCTTGTGTTCTCCTCTCAGAAAAATGGATTGAAAATGTGAGTAGCGGTCTCTAATTAAAAATCAGTGTTGGGTAAATGTTTGCATCGAGTCAATTTTTTTCCGTTACGATTTTAATTAGAAAATTAAATACATGAGGAAGTTGTTGACACAACCGTTTTATTGGAAGTGGGTAAGTATTCTCTCAGCGCAGGTTCATAGAAGCTTAGACAAGGCACGTGTTTCATTTTTAGGCTGAAAAAATACAAACGAGTGCCTTGAACTCGTTCCCAGGAATGCTCTGTTCCTCTATCTCTTATGGGCGGGAAGACAAAAAGCTAGAAGCTCCAATAACAGGACTGATTTCTCTCGACTTGCTAATGACGTGGAGTCAATCAAACGATATCTATTTTAAATGGTTTTCTTAAAACGAAAGAAGAGCTAGATTTATTTATTCATAGGGGCAAAAAAAACAAAAATTGTTTTAGTTGAGGATTAATAAAAGGTGGTTCCTTAGAGTTATCAGCAGTGCTTTATAGAATCGTAGAAAACGGGTTTATATGTTTAGATTGAATCAATAAATAACTTGGAATTTGTTCCAAGTTGGATCCTCTGTTAGTTCAGAAGAGAATTATCTTATACCTCATAATAAATACAAAATCCACACAAATGCTTATTATAGATCGGAATATGATATAACTTAATATGTGAACACTTTTATTGTTTGCTTTGTTTTTGTGTCACAAATATCTATCTTGCATAATCTAGAAGCCACTTATTAAAAACTTATTTCGTTAAATCCTGCAGAAGACATTTTTTTTAGCAAACTAGATAAGAATAACTACAAACAAATGTCTTGCTGAGTCAGACAATAACAAAAGGCCGTACGGTTTTATTCGATTGGTCTACCACTAGAATTTCTACCATAGTCTGAATAGGATGGAGCAATAGTACAAACAAGATGAAAGTATTGCTCGGTTGCTTTCATTCGAAAATCCACCCAGTTTTAACTTTAAAGTCTCATGCACAGAGTTTTCGTGAGAACCAGATTGAAAGTACCGCTCAGTAACTTTGAAGTGGTTATTCATTTCCCGACATTAAAAATTGTCCGAATCGCACGCACAATTTACAGTATCACGAGTACGAACCACTTAGAGCAGCGTAATAGTCCGTGCCACATTAAGTACTTCTCGATGGCTTAGATTTTATCAGAAGAAAAAAAGGGGATTGAATCAGTCCCCTTATTTCTTTTCTCTTTATTTAATGCTCGAACTTAAAACCTGTTTCGGACTGAAACAAGTTGTTTAGTAGGATGACAATTGCCCCTTTAATTAAAGGGAAGAGGTTTGTCGGGGGTCTGGGTCTACATTCTACAATTCTCTGTTGCTACATATCACACAAGTAAATAGTGCTTTTCGCGTGCGCTGATTGGATGATTTGGAAGGGATTAACGAGCACTATTCACTTCCGTGCAGCCGAAGAGACAAAATCGCGTGTCAACAATTTAATCTCCTTCGTCCTTCCACTCTTTGGTATGTTGACGGAAATAACAATTTTATTTGGGTTTCTGTGTGGTACATTCTTAAACAATTAGTAAAAACCTTGTCGTTTAGTGGCTTGGTAAATATTTGCCACCAATCACCTCCCCTTCGGTATATAGTTGTTAATTATCGCGCCGAGTCTCTGTACTGGCTGATAAAGTCGTGTAAGGTGATCTGTTGGGATGATGTGCTTTAGACCTTGGGAGCTAAAATATGAAATTCATTCGAATTAAGAGTTCACAATTACTTTATTTGATTTTCATCTATTACAACATGTACAAATGTTTATCAGGAAATGCAGAACTTTCGCCGACAAAGATATTACTCTTTACAATTTACACAACACGTGCAAAGAATTGAATTATAGCACAACCTTCACACTTTGATAAAAGTATAAAACATCTTAATAAAAGGATAAAGTTCGGCATTTTATATTACCACGTGAATACAGTAGTACAGGTGGTAAGAGAATCGATACACTAAAACTATTGTCTTAAATACATTGATCAATTTGGAGTCTAACCAACTGGTTAAAATTCACCCCTGTTATAAGGAATTTATTCGCAAACTCACCATACGCAAGCGATTTTAATTAAAAAGTTGTAAACTATTCTCCGTTGACTCGTTATCAACCTTATTTGCAAACTCATTCCCCTCAAATTTATAGTAATTTCCTATGATCAAATATTGAAGATAACAAAAAGAAAAAAAAAAAATTACCTCGAAGCGCCTCGCAGACTTTCTTTAACGCTTTAAACCCTAGAAGTGACCAGCATCTATTTTCTCTATACCATATCACCCCTGAATCACACAGCTAGGTCACGAGAATGGCCCGAATGATCATCAATTCAAGAATAATAATGATAATAACTATAATGATATTAATAATAATAAAACATGATAAGGTCTTTCTAATTGGTCGTACTGACAATTACGTCACCATTTACGCCCTATTCACACTAGGTGCTCTCAATAGTTAAACTAGTTTAAAATCGGCTACCTCTCTATTTATACATGTTAAAAAAAAAAAACTATGCGTAGCTATCGCAATGTAGCGTCCGAATCGAGCTAAACTTGTTTTACCTTATTATAAGCTTGAATAAACCCTTGCACTTTCAAGATCTGATCAAGAATTCTTCTGACTGTTTCACAATTCATTTAATGTTAGTTTTGAGAGTTTCCCGCTTTAACGGATATCCTCTGGTTGATATTTTTCTTTATTCTTNTGCGTAGCTATCGCAATGTAGCGTCCGAATCGAGCTAAACTTGTTTTACCTTATTATAAGCTTGAATAAAATCTTAATGTTGTCTTTAAAGCAAGCCATCTGATATCGTTTAAATGCTAGAAAAAATTGCTTCGAAAAGGAACTTGGTGAAAACGTGGTGCAGCGCTTCTAAAAGACGCAAAACTTTTAATCTAGAAATTGCAATGACAGTTGCAGGACATAGAACTAAGAATTTAAATGAGCAATGAAACTTTTGGACGACGCCTCTACCGAAGTCAGCGGCAAGCCTAGATGTCGCTTCTTAACATAGAAAAATCACAGGCTCGACAAAATGAGTAATTATTCTCTTCCCTTTTTTTTTTGAGTGTGGACTTCAAAGTTTACAAATTACACTCCGTCTGTTTGTTTTAAGAATTCACATAAAAGTTTATTACATTTATGACGTCAAGACAACAGTGGTGAAGTTCGTTTGGAACATCGAGTACTGGTAACGAAATTGGGCTGGAAAACTGTGTGCTCGTTTCAATCAGTGATGGCAGCATGTAATGGTAAGGTGAGCTCTAAAATCTAGGTGAGCTGTAAAATTAAGGTGAGCTGTAAAATCTACAGACTAGGTGAGCTGTAAAATCATACATATCACAACATTTCAATTTATATAACTATTTAGATAGTGTGAACGTGGACACAGAGTTTGCACCCCTTAAGATTATCGCTTGCAACTTTCATGTTCATAAGGAAGATCGTCAAGCAAGCTGCGAGCACAAAAGATGCCGCAACACAAATTTGTCTTTCAGTTGTTAAGTATTTGATAAACCCTTGCACTTTCAAGATCTGATCAAAAATTCTCCTGACTGGTTCACAATTCATTTAATGTTAGTTTTGAGAGTTTCCCGCTTTAACGGATATCCTCTGGTTGATATTTTTCTTTATTCTTGTCACCTTCCGAGTCGTTAATATATGGATGTTGTAAGGAGAAATTACTTCCTAGTCACTTAAGAGAGTGAAAAGGCCCACAGGTTGAAAATTGAGACAGAAAACTACAAATGAAATTCGTTTTTGACGAGTGAGCATGCTAAACTCGGCGAAAGGAAATGTTACATGTATGTACACAAACGTTTGAATAAATACACAGGGTGAATGCCAGAGGTGAAATCATTAACTTACAGGCTAAAATTCACACTCATCTTATAAAATTCTAAATATTTTAAAACATCTAAAAAGATTCAATTGACAACAATTTAGAAATTTCGTGGTTTCAGAAAATAGTTTCGACTTTTACAACAACTTCATGTAAGTTTTTTTACTAAGAAAAAGTTACCATAGGAGAAACCTCGTGCGACTTTTTATGATTGGTACATGCCGTGGTATGTTTGACTCTTCCATGAAGATCGAGGAAGGCTACCACTCTTAGAAATGGTGTGTCCGCCATTAAGGATACCATCTACAAGGGAAAAAAAAGTGAGCTTGATGAGATGTTCCGCATGTAGAGTGTGTCATAAATGTGCCACGAACAAGTAAAAAAAAAGAACTCACATGCAGTGACGTTAAAAAAATTGCACATTCTGTATTTCAACAATGCGAAAAAAACCTTGAGCAATTTTGAATGGAGTTGAAATTAATCTGGGCTTGCTTTGGTTTTGCATAACGTCGCTCTGTGATTGGTCCAGAAAACTTGCGCCACTCTTTCAACCAATCAGATGCAAAACTATAACCAATCACGATTTGACCACCCGCGTTTTCCCGCCCATTCGACAGTTTGGTTGTTTTTTCTAACTGGCCACTCTGCTTACTTTGATTTTGGTTTTATTAAACTGAATCGAAAAGCGCTCTAATGTTGCTTACTGAGTAAAAACCGGTTGGTTATCTAATCACCCAGCAAAATTAGTTTGTGAGTCACCAAAGTAACATGATTTATACACTTACTGAGAAAACACTATCCTGTAGCTAGACAAATTGAAACGGTTTGTAATCTCACTAGATAAACCGAATTGTCAAAGTTAGACTAGCTTGTGACTTATTTCAATGGACGAGCTTGTTGTT